CGTGTGCACAGGTGTGTGCGTATGCACACACACACACCAGCCAGAGCTAAATTCTAATCCTAATTTGTTCACATAACTGGTCCAGACATTATATGATGAGCGCCGTGGCCTAGAGTGCTGTTGAAAAGGCCAATAACATAAAATACCTAACTTACTAACTGCCTAGCATACAACAGGAGGCCAAATGATTGGCAATCACTATTATTCAAGGCAGAGGGCTATTGTAATCTTAGGTCCGAACACACCTGGTATACAGAGGCCCAGCAGCGAGACCAGGGCTGTGGGCAGGATTGAGAGCTTCCAGCACCGGTCCAACTCTCTAGGATTGAGCCTTGGCATTTGTTTGATGGTGTTAGGGGATTTCTCACACTCACCGTGAAGCTCTGGGGTGTATCTGAGTTCTGTTCCATGAGGCCAAACTGAGACCCATTGAGGCAGAGATTGATTCCTTAGATGGTCCTTTGGGAGTCACGTAAATTTACGTAAACTACTATGTAAATGGGTATCGCCGGGAGGCACCTCCCCGAAGCCTCGACTGGTGGCCTGGATCTTCAGGGTTGGGTTTGTGCAGCATGCTCACTGGGTCTGAGTCATCCAAAGAACTTACTTTCTCTCTGGGGAACCTTAGAAGATGCGGGCATGTGTGGCTACAAGCTAGCGTGGGCCTGGGCTAGAGAGCTAGCGAGTGGGGGACACCTGGCTCTACCTGCTGCAACCTGCTTTCCGCCCCGCAATCTGCATCAGCACCGTTTTCGGGCGCACTCGTGCATCTCCCCTTCCCTTCTATTCCTTGAAAGTTGTCATCAAGTTTGTCCAAGATGGCCGCGGGCAAGTTCATCCTTCCTCCCCTCTGGCTCCCATCCTTGCCCTAGACCACAGCTTCCCTGGCAACGCCCGCCCCTATCCCCCACGTCGGCACACAACTGAATGTAGGGGTGGTGAAAATTTTGGCAACAATAAAAGATTTCTGAATGTACGACTACCAAAACTCGATTCAAAAGCAAGCACAAGAATGAACTTGAGGTGCTTCTGATAGTTCCCGACAGGTCGTGTCATTGTTGCACACACAGAGCACTCTGCTCTTATAGAAATATAATGGTAATTACAGAAAGCATAGTATTTTCCTACTGTCATTTCTCAGTCAAGTTAGTGTAGCTGAGGATTGTGTCCTGTTAGAATGCTTGAGTTTGAAATCTATTTGTTTTTATTTACATTTTTTCAGGTCTGTGTGTGGAGGTCAGAGGACAGCTTGGGGGAGTTGACTCTCTTGCCCTATTGTGTAGGTTACAGAGGTCAAATTCAAGTCTTCAGGCTTGACAGCAAGCGCCTTTACCCAGTGACCCATTTTGTTGGCCCTAGAATGCTTGGTTTTAAAAATTGCTGTTGAGTTATTCACTTGAGGGTCATAAGAAGTCTCCGAAGGGACAACTCAGTGGTGCTTGCTTGGCATGTACAAGGCCCTGGGTTCAAGCCTTCGTACCAAAAAATAAACTAAAAAAAAAATATCATTGGCCGGGCGATGGTGGCGCACGCCTTTAATCCCAGCACTCGGGAGGCAGAGGCAGGCGGATCTCTGTGAGTTCGAGACCAGCCTGGTCTATAGAGCTAGTTTCAGGACAGGCTCCAAAGCCACAGAGAAACCCTGCCTCGAAAAAACCAAAAAAAAAAAAAAAATCATTGAATGAATTTTGTCTTGAGTTAGGACAGAAGTTCCAACAATAAACTGGGCGTGTGATGTGGGATTTCCCCCTGTATGCTGTGGAACAGAGCTAGGCAGGGAAAACTAAACTGAATGCTGGGAGGAGGAAGGTGGAGTAGAGAGAGGTCATTTATTCCTGCTGGAGCCGAGAAGCCACAGCCATGTGGCAGTTCACAGATTACTAGAAATGGGTTAAATTAAGATGTAAGAGTTAGTAAATAAGAAGCTAGAGCTAATGGGCCAAGCAGTGTTTTGTATGATATAGTTTCTGTGTGATTATTTCGGGGCTGAGCAGCCAGGGACGAACAAGCAGCCTCCTTACTACAGGCGTGATAACACATGCCTTTAATCCCAGCACTTCAGGAGGCAGAGGTGGGTGGATGTCTATGAGTTTGTTGAGTCCAGCCTGGTCTACACAGCCAAGGCTACCTAGTGAGACCCTGTCTCAAATGTGTGTCCGTGTCCTAAAGAACTGTTTGAAGATAAATTTCTTTTCTTTTAAAGCAGGGGGAAATGGCTTCTGATAAAACACTTGCCAGGCAAGTGTGAGGATTGAAGTTGGGGTCCCCAGCACCCCTGCTTAGAAACGACAACAACAACACAAAGCAATGACTGGGCAAGGGGCGGTGATGCCTGTAGTCTAGAGCTAGAAAGGAGAGAGAGGAGGATCCTGGGGCCCACTGGCCAGCTACTCCAGCTGAGTCAGTCAGCTCCAGGTTCAGTGAGAGACCCTGCTTCTAAAGATAAGGAGGAGAGTGGCTGAAGATGACACCCACTGTCTACCTGTAACCCTCACACACACACACACACACACACACACACACACACACACACACTCCACACATACACCCCCCCCCATGTATACACATTCACACACAGAACATACACACATAATAAAATAAATTTCTGTATGATTTATAATCAGCAAATATTTGATTCGCATACTTGTTTTACATGCCTGTATACCTGAAGTTGTATAACAGTTTATTGAGTAAAACTACTTCTTTTGCAAGTGGACAGTTTCAGAAGCCAGGCCCGAGGTGCTTGCACCACTGCTGTCTGTGGGGAGTCAATCTCTTTGCTCCCTGCCTCTAGCCTCTCCCACCCTGCTCAGTAGCACCCTGTATCCCTAAGATGACCCAGAACCTCCCAGGACCCTCTAGAATGGGCCACTTTCTTCACACTCCTTTGATGGTCCTCACATAGGACACCTCTCTCCTGTGCCTCCCCCACCTCCCTTCATTGTCTGAATCAAGATCATTTCCCAGCTCTTACAGAAGATCCCCCCTCCCGCTGATTCATGTCACAATTCAAATGAACATTCCTAAAGATTGGCTGGCCTTCTGTGCACCGGGTCCAGAGCTTGGAAGAAAGGACAGGTGTTAGGAGGGAGGGGACACAGAGACAGATGGGGGAGAGCAGGTAGAAGGATGACGGCACAGGTGCAGTTTTAGAAAATTGTGTCTTGGAGCAGGGGCTGGAAACAATCAATCAAAATGTATCTTAGGGGCTGGGGTAGGGGTGGGGTGGGTGGTCAGCTTTTAATCCCAGCACCATAGAGGTACAGATGCTGGTGGATCTCTGTGAATTTGAGATCAGTCTGGTCAACATAGTGAGTTTCAGATTAGACAGAGGTACACAGTGAGACCCTGTCTTACAGCAATAATAGTAACAATAAATATCAATAAAATGAACCGGCTTTAGAGAGTCCCTGAACTGCCTCATAAGTGTAGGGAGGAAGGAGTTAATTTTTTCAAGTAGAGGTGTCAAAAGGCCTTCTCACATCTGACATCATTTGCCCCGTTTTTCATCTTGTTCTTTTAATTATGTGACATCATCCTTTCCACTGCAAAGGATCTTGGGGGTCATATGGGCCACCCTCTTTGTACAGATGGGTAAACTGATGCACAGAGGAAGACCTTACTTCGCATCACGTAGCAAATGATTAGTAGGGCCGGTATTGCAAACCAGGCCTGTCACTCAAGCAGAAGGAAAAGCAGGTTAGGACCAGGTCGCGGAAGGCCATTTCCTGTGCATCTCTTGAGTCTTGATCCTGGAGGACAGACCCAAGAAGGGACCCAGCCTTCCTCATCTGAGGCTGACAGCCCATTGACTTCATTGTTTCTTTAGGGCAGTGGTTCTCAACCTTCCTAGTGCTGCAACCCTTTAATACAGCACCTCATGTTGTGGTGACTCCCAACTATAGAATTATTTTCATTGCTGCCTCATAACTGTAGTTTCACTCCTCTTATGAATCATAATTTAAGCATCTGTGTTTTCCAATGGTCTTAGGCGACCTCTGTCCACCCTGAAGGGTTGCGACTCACAAGTTGAGAACCAGGGCTCTAGAGCCTCCTGTGAGGAAGAAATAATGTCCCAATAGATGTCCAGAAGGGATAAGTCTGGGAGAAGTAAATCTATTACCCAACACCTGTCCCTTGTCTTTGCAGGAGCGAGGACAGATGATGCAGGGTGTGAGCTGTCCCTCTGAAGGAGGAGAGTGACATTAGGGATGGGATCCCCTTCACAAGAGTTGAGCTCAGAAGGATGAGGAGAGTTTCCAGCTGGATAACTGGAGTGGTAAAGACTGGGCCAGGACACCCAGGGGAAGTAACCTGAGTGTGAGCCAGCCAGCACAGCTGTGCAGCAAAGGGGGCGGGAAGCAGGGAGCGACGGGAAAGCTGGTTTTCAGTCATTTCAACCTCACAGTCCCAGTGATGAGGATGGGCGGCGGCAGGGCAGAGAACAGAGGGGGAGCGGGTCTGCACAGCACCCAGCCTGGCGCAGAGGGCACTAAGGAGATGCTCCTAAAGAGAGCAAAAAGGACTCCCAGAGCCGCCTTAGTGGGACTGGGACAGGACTAGCCGCTTCACAGGCACGGGTGCTGTCACAGTTTGGTGACTTTTTCCAACTGTAACTTTGTCCTCACTTGGAAACAAAGCAAAGCCACGCTACGGCAGACTCAGAGAGCTAACCCCATCAGCGCTTGGAAACCCTCCCTGACGCAATCCCTGGCTCGAAGCCAGAGGGACCCTCCATAGCTTTCCCTCTTCTTTCTTTCTCTCCCCTCTGGTGGTCTTTCCGCTACCTTTGCTCCCAGGTTGAGCCAGAAACAGCCGCAGCTGCGCCTTTGGGCGCTTTGCTCCGCATGCTCTCCATTCCCACTCAGGGGTCATGCATTGCAACGAGAGCTGCGGGGACCACAGGGGATTCCCAGGGGACAGGGCCCCAGGCGGGACAGGGTGACAGCGACTGTCCCGGAGCCATGCTAGCACTCCGGCGGGCTGAAGGGGCAACTCACCTGACTTGCCCATGGCCGACTGTGTGTGTGTGCTCCTCTGCTCCGCGGCGGCTGCGCTGCGCGGGGTGGTGGGTCCCAGCAGCTGGCCAAGGCCAGCAGGGGCAGGGGCGGCTGCAGCCACTCCCCCGGCGCCGCCCGGCCCCGCCTTATAAGGCAACGGCAACTGCAGGCGAAGGCACGGGGGGCCACCCCTAGAATTCACATGGCCTGGTGGGATTCCGCCGCTGGCTAGGGCGGTCCAGATGTGGACGCAGTGCCTCTCTCCCCGATCTGAAAGCGCGCATGAGACCTAGGGGAGCTTGAGCCTTCCTTGTGGTTCCCCATGACTCCTGTGCTACATTAAGACTGCGGTGCTCACTGTAGCCTGGCCAGGAACCGTTCCCGCCGGTGCCACCAGGGGTCGGTACTCTCCCAATCTCGGTCTTGAGCGACAGGCAACACCCTCCTCCCCCGAGTGTGCTTATTCCCCTCCTCTGCGACCCTGTGTTTCAACCACATCTTCCTAGGACCCTTCTGCTATGCGACCCCAGGTTGTAACTGAACACGTCCTAGCCCTCCAGCTCCAGCCGCCCCAGGAGGTGCCCACAGCTCAATTCGGACCTGTGCTCTTGACCCTCACTGCCTCTGAGACCAAGCCAAACTTCCCACCCCTGAGTCTGACTCCAGACATGGATCCCCACCTCTCTAACTTTATCCCACGTTCCTGTCAAACCAGATTCCCCAAACGTTCTTGGTTTTGCTCACTCATCCTTCAACAGGGACAGCCGCGTACCTGACCCTCCTAACCTGTACTCTGGAGTCTGTCAATTTCTTCAGCTCTCATCAGCCCTTCCCTTCCCCACTTTTAGGACAGTACACACCTAACATGGGAGAGACTGGCTCAAGGTCTTCAGCCCTGAGAAGTGCACCCAGACAAGGCACAGCCTAATACACTCTCTGTGCCAAGGAACTCTTTCTCACTGGTGGGACAGAAGATTTGGAAGCCCCTGTGGAAGACTTGTGTTCAGGCTTTTCCGTAAAGGCCTGGTGAGTTGACTCAGGGTAAGCAGCCAAACTCTAATTCTGAGCTGGATTCCTGGAATGAATACAGTGGAAAGAGGACCAACTCTTTTTTTTAAAAAAATATTTCTTTATTTATTTATTATGTATACAATATCCTGTCTGTGTGTATGTCTGTAGGCCAGAAGAGGGCACCAGACCTCATTCCAGATGGTTGTGAGCCACCATGTGGTTGCCGGGAATTGAACTCAGGACCTTTTGGAAGAGCAGGCAATGCTCTTAACCACTGAGCCATCTCTCCAGCCCGTGGACCAACTCTTGAAAGCCATCTTCTCCTTGGGGATGGTGGCACGCCCCTCCTCCATCCCACCATTGGCATCATCTAAACGGAGTCCAGCTGGTTAATTCAAGACACACCTTTTTCTCACCATAAAAAATTTAAAGACTTTTAATAAATGGGGACTGAGTTGAACTGATTAACAAATTACAAGTACAGTTTTCTCTCTCTCTCTCTCTCTCTCTCTCTCTCTCTCTGTGTGTGTGTGTGTGTGTGTGTGTGTGCTACATATACTTTAAAATATATTTATTTGGGGCAGGCATGGTAACACATGCCTTTATTCTCAGCACTTGGGAAACAGAAGCATGAAGATCTCTGTGAATTTAAGATCAGCCTGGTCTACATAGTGCGACCTCATCTTTAGATTTTGATTGTGTATTTTGTGTAATTTATGTTGGGTGTTTGAGTGTGGTGCATGGAAGTCAGAGAACAGCTGCTGAGAACCGGTACTTTCCTTCCACCATGTGAGCCCTGAGTGTCCGGCTTGGCAGCAAGCGCCATTACCTGAAAGGACATCTGTCTCTCCAGCCATTGTCTCTTCTCTACTCTTCTGCATTTTATTTTTTGTGGCAGGCTCTCCTGTGGCCTTGGCTGGTCTGGAGTTCCCGGTGTAGCTGAGTCTGACTTTGGAGCTCAGATCTTCCTGCTTCCACCTCCTGAGGCTATGACTATGGGCTGTATCCCCAGCGGTACATACCCTAGGAATTAAAGTGCACTGGTTTAGGCTACTGCTGGTTTGTTCAACAGTCTCAGTGAGCAGCCCAAAGCAGCCTCACGCCACCACACTCACTCAGGTGCTGGTCACAGGTCAGGACTGTGCCACCACACCTCACCAGACTCGAATCGAGTTTAGATGTGTCCAGTAGATAAGCCCAGAGCCACACACTGCCCTCACTGTCCCTCCCGCTCTGTCCATTCGATATACTTCCTGCCTCTTCGCACTTCCAAACAGGAGCACAGTGGACACTGGTGCCCATCTGACTTAGAGGGACTTGTAGTTCTGGGTAGGGAGTCTGACCCCCACTGTTCAATTCTCTGCTCCATTTTGCTGACAAATTCCCATTGAAATAACCAAAGGAGCCCAGGGGGGATCCTTATCACACGTAGGATCTCTAGAAAGCTGTTTCAGAGGAACCAGAACTGCAAGGCCACAATGAAACAGCTGAGCCCAGAGGAGCCATTCACCGTGTGCAGAGGACAACTGTCAGTGGCCATCAGTCTCATGACTCCCTCATTCAGAAGGAGAGGGCCAGAGACCTGGCAAGGCTAGATTCCTGCCTTGGTGACATCTGGAGACTCTATGGCTGGTGTGTTGTGGACTCTGTAAACTGGCTCTGCCAGCAGCATACCAGCAGTGTGCCAAGAGGATTTAGGCAGTGTCAAAGCTGATTTCTACTAAGGACAACTCGGTGGCTGGAGAGGGAGGTGCTGCTAGGCCAGAAGTTGGGGACAAGAGACAAGCCACAGTCAAGGCCAGACACCAAGAAGAGAGATTAGCCCAATTTGTGCTTTGTCACCTAGCCCAGGCTGGCCTCAAATTAGCCTTATAGCTGAGGATGGCCTTGAACTCCTGAGTCTCCTGACTCCAACTCCCAATCGGTTTATTAATTTATTGTATGGTTTGTCTCATTTGAGAACTCCTGACCTGGGTGTAACTCAGGGGTAGAGTATACTCAGCACAGGGAATCCCTGAGTTTACCCCCAACGTCACTAAGCAAACATGAGATTTCCCTTTTTTTTCTGATGCTTGTCAGTTCTGACTCTTACACTCAAGTTTTGTCTTACTTTTGGATTGTGACAGAACCTGTGGAGCTGGTTTTGTTCTCTCTCTGCTGTTCTCTATTATTTCTCCCCCACCCCCCTTTCTCTTCCTCCTCTACCTCTTTGTGGAAAGCAAATAAGGAACCTTCCCAGCAGTGATCTCCCTACAAGCTCGTGCTTATTGCGGGGGGGGGGGGGGGGGGGGGGGGGGGGGGGGGGCTGTCCCTCCCTCTCCGGAAGAAAACAAACAGAAGTGCTGGGAAGAGGGATGACTGCTACCCCATGAGTGTGAAATGCCTAGGATGCTCTGCAAACAGCACGCTCTCGGCCTGCATCAACTTAGCCTTGCGTGTTGGCTGCTCCATGGTCCTCTGTCCTGCCACAGGATGCTCCTGCAGGGGAAACAGCACCCAAGCACCCGGACCAATGGGAAGATATTCCAACACACACACATTGGATGACAAGACAACAGAGAAAGAGGAGACTGAGTCAATGGGTCACATTAGGAAGAAGGAAGGGTCTATGACATTCCTCAGCCCCCAGCCCATCGTAGGATCTTCACATGGGTTTAGGTTTGGTTAGAGGCCGAGGCGTGTGTAACTCAGACCCCAACCCTAAACAAGCTCCTCTCAGGGTCAGCATCTGAGTTAGTTACTGTTCCATTGCTGTGATATTACACCATAACCAAGGCGACCTAGAAAAGAAAACCTTTAATTGGGTTTTCAGCTCCAGAGGATTAGAGTCCAGAGGGCGGAGCCAAGGTGTGGCGGCAGGAACAGCTGAGACCTCACACCTCAAACCTTAAGTCGGAGACAGAGACTATACCAGTTTGCTTCGTGTACTTTGAACCATTTTATTTGAAAATAAACATTTATGGCTTTTATCATCTTGATAAGTTGACCTTACCGCTCACCCCAGAGTTCAAACTCAGGAACTCATGTATGCCAGGCAAGCGCTCTACCTCTGAGCTATAAACCTGGCCCAGTAAATTAGTTCTTCTGTCACTGAAAAAGATCTCTCTCTCCTCATACTTCTTCATGGGAAATGCAGGTTTGATATCAGTGCAGCTGTCCTAGCTTTCTCTCAATGAGTGTTTGTTTACTGTAGTCCTGGTGATGAACCTACGGCCTTGCACACGCTAGGCAAGCTACCTCTGAGCTAAACTGTCCCCAGCCCAGATCATCTAATTTTTATCTTTTAACTTTTTTCTTTCAATAAATTCAGAAGACTATTAATGTACACAGCAAAAGTAAAGTTACTTTTACAGTTTGTAAAATTAATCTTTACTAGTGTAAAACTTGATTTTGATATATTTTCAAAGTGTACTGGCTACCTTCTTTGTTACCAAATCCTTGATAAGAAGCAACTCCAGGAAGAGGTGTTTATTCTCTGTTGTTTGAGGGGATGCAAACTCCTCAATCCATTCCTGTTATGAAGGTAGGGCAGCAGTGAGGATACAGATCAAACAGCAGCCAGAGCGAGGATACAGAGAGATGGCAGGAAATAAGAGCCCGATTTCCTCCAGCAAGGTTCCGGGACCTTTCCAAACAGCGCCACCAGCAGGAGACCAGGTATTCAAACACACAGTCTATGGAGGACATTTCACCTTCAAATCATAGCGATGGTCAGGGTTTCTCTGTATAACAGTCCTGCCTACCCTGGAACATACTTGGTAGACCAGTGTGGCCTCATACTTACTGACATCCACCTGCCTCAGCCTCCCAAATGCTAGGCTTAAAGGCATGTGCCACCACCACTGGTTTATTTATTTTTTTCTATGATTGTCTATACCTATTTTATTTTCTTTTTTTAGCACCTATGATGTGGGATTCCCCTCTGTATGCTGTGAATACCATTGGTTAATAATGGACTGCTTTGAGTCTATAGCAGAGCAGGGCAGAAAGAGCTAAGCAAGAAAAACTAAAGTGAATGCTGGGAGAAAGAAGGACAGAGTCAGAGAGAAGCCATGTAGCCCCATCAGAGACAGACACCGGAACTATAGCCAGTAAGCCACAGCCACATGGTGATTAATAGAAATGGGTTAAATTAATATGTAAGAATTAGCCAATAAGAAGCTAGGGCTAATGGTCCAAGTGATGATTTAATTAATACAGTTTCTGTGTGACTATTTTGGGGCTAAGTGACCGAGAACTAACTAGCAGCCTCCTCCAACACATCTAAGCCACATTTTCAAGCATATTGTACCTGCTCAGAGTTTTTTTTTTTC